AGGGAAGGCAGAGTCGGAGGGTGGAAGGGCCAGGCATCAGCACACACTGAATTAATCACTCTCCTCGGGCACCCACACACCTAGTTCTGTCAGTGCAAACAGAGCCACCCACATTCTCAGTCTGAGGTTCCCCAGTCACTGCAGAGCAAGTGTGGTGGTGTTCAGATGGTGTCTGGGGAACAAACATGTGATGACTTATCACAGCCTCGTCCAAACTGTGGCAACAGTCTTTGAGCAGACGGCTAATAACAAAGTCACCAACAGATGCTTGGAAGAAAAATATATATAGCAGAGTTTAATGGTTGTGTCTGATCAGGTTTGAAAAGACTGTCAGTGTCGCCAGACGTGCAATAACTGTGCAGTATTGTGACCCTATTATCGATCAATAATTCCCTCAATCCCATAATGTATGATGTAATGTCACACCTTCATTACATGGATGACTTAATTAGCACAGCAGTGCAGGCACATAAAAGCGTTTTTACACATCATCCCAGGTGCATCATGGGAGGCAATAAATGCATGATGTAACATGCGTTGGCGCCCGACATGAACATCAATGAGCGTTGCTAGGTGCTACATCAATAAAGTTTTATTATGGGCTATAATGTGGAACATTAATAGCGTGTTAGCGATGCAGTTTTAACCAAGTGGTAGCCATTATATTCCCACAAATACAAAGTTTTAGGCACTGGTACGATACTTTGACATTTTAAATCAGGCTATGACAAGAGGAGCTCAGCAACAAGATAAACCTATGTTACACTGTCTTTTCCAGGAAATAATTTCAAGTCTGACCATGTTGTAGTATATAAGTCACATTTTGGGGTTGATAAGACAATGCCGTGACAGTTATACTGTGTTCTATTGATCCGTTCTCACTCTAAAAAAAAGTCACCCTCATCCATTCATCATGTTCTGATTATAGAAAATGATTCGCCATGCATGTGGACAATACTACAATACTACATTTAACCCATCCAGGAAATATTACTACAGACTCCACTCTTCCATATACCTTTATGTCAAGACAACTAAATATGTTACATGTTGCACTGCTCAACTCTGGTGGACCATCAGAAATGACACGGTGTGCCAGATTCTACCCACAGGCCTTAAGTTTGACATATGCACTATGCATATAGATTGTGATCAAAAAAGTTCCTTGTAAATGTGACGAGGCAATCCTGTTTGATATTAATCTAATTAGCTTATCTGAAGCTTATCCATAAACAGTCATTAAAATACTTGTATTTTGTAGCTTATCATGTTTATCACTTTCCTATATTCTATAACATAGAGCTGACCTCGTGTTCTCTGTTAATTAGCTTACAACATGTGATTTCAAATTGAAATATTACTGATGAATGTGGACATGGTAGTTCTGTTGGCGAGCAGTCGTGGAATGAGAGGTTGATTAGGACTCTGGCCAGCCAGTGTATCCCAAGAGGAGGATAATGGGGTTTGTGATAATGGAGAAAGTGAGGGAGATGTCACAGCATGTATGGACTGTGATTCAGGAATCATTCTGATGTAGAGCATTATATAACTGCTGTACAGGGAGCAGCTGACCTGTGGTTAACCTCACACTGCCTTCACACATGCTGTGCATTAACCCTGCTGAAATCAGGTTTAGTTTGTTTCCCTCTTTTCCTACTTCCCTGTATGACTTCAGCTTTGGCAAATATAACATGATTTTAGTGGGATGAAACCCTGACAACCTGGTCACATGGTACGTTATAACAACAGGGTAAAGTCTTAATTGCATTTGACATTTTCTATAAATGTGTCTCTAACAGATCAGGTAGTGATGATCAGCCTAAGAACGCTGCAAAATGACCATATCGTTAAATCAGATATATGTCTATTGATTCATCTTATCTATTGATTAAAATTATTAGGATGACATTTTATTTTTATTTAAATTAACCAACGTGCTAAAGGCTGCTTTATCACCTCAGTTCTCTTGGCATGGAAGTCAAGGCTAGGCTGGTCTCTGAGGCTTTTCTAACATGTTGTCCTGTTGCATTATGGAACTCTGAAAGACATGCGACACTTTGGGACCAACAGTCACTTAACAGTCACTTAACATTCACTCACATGTCAGCTCTCATGGGGGAGAAGGTGGCCAGTTATTTGCCCTTCCTACCCTACAGTGCAAGGGCAGTTCATTTTCACTTTACATCTTCCAGATATGAGAGAAAACTCCACATTCTATCAGTATGTGGAGGCTCGAGATATAATTTAAAAAACGATAATGACGGCAAAGATTTCCACTAAAATTAAAAAAAAAAAGATTATTGCTTAACTAATTAGGACTTAAAATATTGGAAGACACAGAGGCTGCATTCTTACCCATAATTTGGCAAAGCGATGTGAGAGTCTGGAGCATACTGTGCAAACAGATGGACTGTGAAATGGTGGCAGAGCCGCTCCCTCATGTCATGATAACAACTGTTTTTAGCAGATGATTAGGGGAATTTGTCATCACAACATATTTCATGGAGGTGGACTCAGCAGAACTTTAGACAGGCCATACAGTTTTATCAACCTAGACGTCGCCGCAAGAAAAGAGCATTCTGCTCTGCTGATAATCATACTGATAAATGAAAAGGATTGAAATTATTTAAAGAACAGACAAAGGACAAAGGGTTAATGAGAAGGTTGTTTGCTTAAAAAATAGTATTAATATTTAAATCAACATCACTATATGGCAAATTGCATTGCAATGCAAATTAAAGTTGCTCTTGTTGTTTAGAGTTAAAGCTTCTTTGAATGTATTGGCCGTCTTTGCAGCAGCACATCTACTGTAGGACAGCTACTGGAACAGAAACAAAACTAGACAATGTGAGTTGAAAAGACATTTTTGCCAACAGCGTTTTCTTACGTTTGGATATTTATTTATTTTTTGCTTTTGCTGTAAGCAACAGAGAAACTGTCTACTCCTCACAGGAGGAGCCTGCAGTGAGCTACTGGGATACTAGCCCTGAGGATTTCAACTTTTTGAAAAAGTCTCACATTCTGGAGAAGGGTCTGAGTAACTTGTGCTTTAGACAAGGCTGAGTTGTGTCAGCATTGTTGTGTTACAGCACATTTATTCCAGAGCAGTACTGCAGAAATAAATATGTGTCTGTACAGGGTTCTCAGTCATCCAGGTCAAGAAAACCTGGAGAGAGTAGACCCTCATGGTCCTGCTGACAGTTAGGACTCGAAACTGTTTGAGCTGTTTATTATTCTTGTTTAAAAATTCCCAGGTTAATGACTTCATTGGGAGCAGGGATGCCCAATATGTAGGTCAGGACCTGCCAGCAGATCGCAAAGGGAATGCTGGTACATCATGAGCAATTAAAATATAAAATAAATCACATATACATATAATTCTGTAGTATATCACAGTGACAGCCACAGAGCTACATGCATTTCACCCCATTATATTAAAGGTAAATAAAGTATATATTTAACCTTTTTAGGTCGATCACTTTAGCCTGGCCAAAACACGCCCACGTCTCCACGTAACTAGCCTGGACGCTTAACACTAACACAAGGAAGGGCAGAACGAAGAAGCGAGTGAGTTAACACGATGACTCTCATTCATTATATATGGTCTGGGTCACTGACTGAAAACGGTAGTAAGTACTGGAGACGCAAGATCACTGAGTAGTAGGAAGATGAAGAGGAGGAGGAGGAGGGATCAGAGAAACTGGGCTTTTTATAAAACCATGCAGGGCCCAGTGCAGTCGCCCCCTGTGGGCATTCATAGTCAATTGAGCAGCAAGAGAGAGAGACAGAGAAAGAGAGAGAGACCTTCAGGGAGAGTGATGGAAAGACTTGAAGGGAGCAGCTCTGAATGAGAGTCAACTTGATGTCTCCCCTCACGAGGGACAGATTTTCTTCAGTCAGTCCATCTGTGTTTCCCTGGAGTGGAATTGAACCGTAAAAATCTGGGTCCATCACGAAGGCCGGTTCATTTCATGAGCTTTTCTTTGCTGTACAAATGATTTTACACTGTTTCAGTAGACGCTGGATTAATCCTGTTCTATGACCTATAACACGTCCTTGATGGGATGGGCCATTTGGAGTGAGTTAGAAGCAGTCAGCATAAAAGCAAAAATTATAATAATAAAAAATATGTTAAAAATAGGGTTCTCCATGAATTCTCATTTACTTCCTGTTCTGATCTATGCTACATCTGCCAGGCCAAGACTGTGATTTGTTTTAAATCAATTGTCAACACATATTGAAAAACATTTCATTCAAAGTATTTAGCAATGAAGTGTCAAAAGTCAACCACCCCAGGTCAGGCGATTTTATATTGTACTACAGCACTGAGCACCAGCTGTTCAATGGAACTGTACACTTCCAACCAACCTGAGGTACTGCCCTAATCTCAGGCCAACTCCAACTCTAACTAATTTAAAATGCTTACACGCATATTGTTGCATTTTGTTTCAAATATTTCCTGTGTCAAAAGGTTTCGTTATAAAAGATATATATTTAAGGTAAACAATTCAACTCTTTGGTGTCCCAAAGACAAAACCCAGAAAATTGTGAAAATATATGTTTATCTGTGAATCACAGATGCAACAGAAACAGCAAAAGCAGCAGGAAGACAAATGTGTTTGACAACAAACATTCTTTGACACATTTCCCATCGAAGCTTGTTTTACTCGTTCTTCCATTTGTTTGGGATACTACAGAGGTGGTCCAACACATTTGAATGAAGGTGCATAAGCTCACTGACCAGGCAGATGTCAAGTTAAACCAAAACCAAAATAGTCCCCTTCAAAATAAAAGCCTTGCAGTTATATTTTATGCATGTATTACAGAGTGACACAAAGTTTCCTGGTCAGTTGCTAACACCTCCATGTCAGTGTGTTGCTATTTAAAAATACAGAGAAATAAAAGAGGAGAGCTAAAAATGTGATAAGGTGGTAGGAGTTTTTTGGACGGTTACCATGGTACTTGAGTTCAGCGATGTTGTAGGAGTACAAAATACTCACTGAGGATCCTTTTGCTTTTCTGCCAAATCTCCCAGAGCTGTGAGCTGCTTCTCCTTGGCAGACTGGCAGGGTGTGTGTGTGTGTGTGTGTGCGCCTGGAGGAGCGGAGAAAAACAGTCACTATATAGGAACACAAACTGCAAGAGAACTTGGTGAACAACAGCGTGATGAAATACATGATCCAACAGTGCCAGGTGAACTGTTCTATGAGTGACAGGTTCTCCATAAAATATTCATGACAGTGAATTATTTTATCTCTGTGAAGGACGGTGTCACATTGTGTCGCAGATCATAAAGTCGCAGTTCGATTCGTTTGATAACCGTGTACTTTGTTGTGTCATTCTCTCCTTTTGTAGTTATTTCTTACATTTTAAGAAAAAATTGCAGATTCGCAATAGAATCTGTTTGATGTTCGCAGTTCGACTAATGACCTGCTCCTTGTGAAGACAACAAATAAAATAACTTAAAGAATGAGCGAGTCAAAAGTGTATGTGGGCGATAGTAAAGGTGTGGGCAGAATGGACAGTAAACAGACGGCAGATAAAAAATGTAAATCATCAGAAGAAAATAAACATAAAAATGAATAAGATTATTGTAAAAACTAAAACAATCTTTACCTGTCTGAAACATTGAACCAAGACTTCGAGTTTTTGTTTGAATAAGATTATTGTCATAATGCTGCCTGAAGGAGGAAAACACGTCACCTGGTGACACCTAATCAGAAAGCAGTTAAGTAACATCTTAACGGCGTTATGCAACCTCCTTTGTAATCAGTTCGTGTCCCCTCGAGGGGGTGCACTTCATTTAGAGAACCACTTCTGTAACTTAGTGGACTGAATAATGAATTTATTAAATTTATCAACCAACATGTTCAAGATGGCAGCCAAGGTACTGACCATGCTGCCAGACTTTGTAAAGACGGGGTAAAAGTGCAACCCGCGGGTCTTTAAAGTGGTTTATTGATGTCCATCAACAGGGAACCAAAGTGGGGCTAATCACAACCGACACCCTGTCTCTTTCCTGAGAAGTTGGCTTTCAGGAGGTGATGGAAGCTCTCATTGCAATCAATCAGCCCAATTATCCTTCCTCCAATCTAAATGGAAGCGAGTCCCTGAGTCTGAGCTCACTGTGATGGCTGTGATAATCATTACACTTCAGAAAGGGCTTTCAGAGTAAAGGTGCGAGATGGAAAACAAAGAGACGGCTTTGTGCCTCTGGGCAGTTGTTTTGATTTAAAGGGGTTTATTATGTTGCCACATACACCTGCTTTTTATTTACTGCTTTATATTACTCTTAAAATATGTAGCTCATCTTTGTTTTCCAAGAATACCTTTTTCAGGCTGACATCAACAACAACTTTCTCACTGAGCTGTTAAAATGGTCTGACAAAATAATAAATCACATCTGAAAGCAAACCACAAACAAAACTCCTGCAGGTTACTTTGTAATCCTTCCTCTGTATTTACTGTACTTGTTTTTGCTACCTAATATAAATCACTACTCCCAGTAGATTCATCACCAAATCAGCAAACACAGGCTGTGAGGGATCGGCCAACACGTCAGTTATCGCTAAGTTTGCACCTATGGTGCCGTTAAATCCAATTCCCAAAGCCATAATGTTTAAACAAATCAGCGGCAACTATGGCTTGGAATGAGTGTGAACAGTGAGTCAATATCTTAATTAAGCATTTGAACACATTTAGACGTGAAACTGTTTCTCTGATGGTGCCGCTGTGACGAGCCTGATTA